ATTATTATTATTATGTATTAAGGACATTACATGTTTATGTCAACCTCTAACTCATGATAATCTTACAAAAAAAATTATTGTGTTTTTTGTAAAAATTTAACGTGGGGTATTTTGTATTAAATTATTATTTCTTTAATCACCTTTCACTTGTTTTATTATAGTCATACTGTCACAAAACATATACTATATTATAATTCCTCATAAAAGCTAACTTTTTAGAAAACGCAATTTTAATTTAAATAAATAAAAAAAAAAAATCTTATTTCACATTTTTTTCTTTCTTATATAAATGAAGGTATGATGTAATCAGGGTTTAGAAGAAATTTGGGTCCGTTAACGGACCCTTCACAAATTTGTTTATCTTCATTATTGTTTTGCAAATTGAATAAACCTTTCCCAGGGCAGAAAACAAGAAAGATGGATGTAAACGAATTAAGTTTTGTCTTCGGCAGACGATTCTTCCATTATTCGTCCGAAATGAATATTGTGCGTTCAGCAGTATTGGCTAAATACCAAATNATACCAAATATTTGTATGTTGCATCTCTAATTTAGTAGCAGCAATTGCTGTTTATTTTTTAAATTATAATTTTACAGTGTTGGGCATAATCTTGTATGTCTTTACAATTTAAAAACTCCTTGAAAAAGTTTTTTGCAATAACCGGACCCTATTTGTACACGTTCATAAAAGCAGGAACCTAGTTGAAAGAATGTGAGTCATTTTTCACAAAAACCGGATCTTTCACAAAATGTCTGGACAGACCCCCGGTAATGAAATAAAGATACTATATGATGAAGCTTAAGATATAATGAAACTTTTGAATATTGTTTTAAATTCTAAAACTTATTTTGTGTAAAAAATATTTCTTACATTAATACTTAGTCATTCGTCCTCCAAATTTAGTATGGTTATAATATATTAGTTGAAAAGTATTTTTTTTGTATAACAAGCATTATATTTTATTTAATTATCTTTATGTAAAAAAACTAACATAAATTTTGTTTTGTATAACTTTCAATTTTTTTCTTGTTTTGAAGAAAAAAATTCTAATGGCAGCCGTTTATTATATGTTGAAATAACATCTTTTAAATAATATTATTATCATAACCTTATTTTCATATATTTCTACTAATATACTTAATACATAACTGTCTAAATTTCGTCTTATTTAAATATAGTGAACTCAAAGTGCAAAATTTATTAGTAAAAGAGTATCATTTTTAAAATTAATTTAAAAAATTGAGTTTTATTGAATTACATTAATTAGAACAATTAATAATTATCCCTTAATTAAGTTTTAAAAATAAATATTGATTTAAAGAGCTTACTTCAACCTAATGCATCACAGTGAGATATTTTTCATAACCTATAACTTCACCTTAAAAAAGCTTATAACTTCTCATCAAATAAAATCATTATATGAGGCATGGTGAATTCATTAACCAAGCAAAAATATGACACAACTGTAAAAAATAAAAAGTAGCAAAATATTTTATAACAATTTATAATGCATTTCAGCCGACGATATCTTTTTTATCATTGAAATTGTAGTAATTATTTTTATATTTTTAATAATCAAAATAAAACTATTAATAATTAAATTTATTTCTTGGTTTGTTCAGATAAAATTTATATGAAGGAACTCATTAAATAATCCCCAACTTTTTGAAATAAAACAAAAAAAAATGTTCCATGGTTGCTTTAAAGAAGAAAGGCAAAAAAAAAAGAAGAAAAAAAAAGAAAAAAAGATAAATAAATAATAATAAATAAATAATGATAATAATCATCTGCATCTTAAAACTTACAGCAGAAAGTGCCTTTTCTCCAAATGTCTTTCATTTTCTAGCAACCTTATTTATTAACTTTTTAAAACTTAGTTCTACAGAAATTTTTGTATTCGGAACAGATTTTTTTCTTCTGAAAAAATAGACAACATTAAGCAAAAAAAGTGTGATTTGGGATTCAAATTTTTCAGTTCTGATGTGGTTACAGATATTATTTTAGCATATGTGAGGTTACCCATTTAAACCATTAAGAATGGGCGCCATTTTTTTCTGATATTTTTTCATCAATGCATAATTTGGCAGCTGCATGCATTATTTTTTAGAATTGTTTCTTAGGATTATGAGGGAAAACTCAAAGAATTTTTTCTTCTTCAAATTAAGAATGAAACCTGAAACAGCTGTTAAGAAGAGAGTAGGTAATACATTTAGCGTCCTTGGCGGTGGCAGGATGATATCCCCCTCCCCCCAATTATTAGATATCTCCAAAATTCCTCCTCAATATTTCAGACAAATAAAGAAAATTTTCATGAATTGTCATTGATTTAAATTTACCACAAAAAAGAGAGCTAAAATATATTTAATCTTTTCGCAGATACTTGACAGATAAAAATAAATTTTTTTCTTCTTATGTTTGAAATTTAGAGAACTGTTATGACTGTGAATTATAATGTCATCCCCTTTTAAAATTGGATGCTTGTGATGCCCATGAAGTAACAAGTAGTCATTGATTTTTAGAGAGAAATCTGCTCAATTTTTTAAAATCCATGTTTTTTACGTTTTTAAAATATCTTTCATAATTTTTATTACAATTTCGTATTTTATCTCTTACAGATATAAAGGTGAATACGTCAGCAAAAAGAGGATTTACAACCATCCCGGACAGCGACGACCTCCCCATCTTCCTGATTTATGTGAAAAATGCAAGTGGGGTGAAGAGAGATGCTGGGAGTACAAATATAGGTGTCAGTGATTTCTATTTATGTATTTATTTTTAAACAATTTCATCTTCAAACTGATATAAGAGGAAAAAATGGTTCACATATATTTTTTTTAAATATCCCTTAATGCAATAAAATATATTAATAATTTTTTACTTAATGAGCATTCCACTTTCATGGTCATTATGAAGTCATTTGAATGGAAGATGTTAACAAGTTGTCTTTTTTTGTATAATGGGATACATTATCCATATATATTTTATCCATTTATATTATATTTGTATATACTACAATAATCCAAAACTTGAATAAAATTATTATTTAAATGTTAACTGTTTTCAAATCCTTTATTCTCAGATCAATTTTTAAAATAAAATACATTGTTTTTGTTAAAGAGCTAAAAATTTAAAACAAACATTTTTAAAGTATCTGTGATGTGACTTTAAATTAAATCAACATTTGAGCTAGATGAATTTTCACAACCTTAGCATTAGGGAAGAAAAGTTTCAAAATAGTGGAAATAGTACTAGAATAGAAAGAATTTAAAGCTTGCTTAAACAGGGATAAAAATAAAGTTTATTTTGATTATGTGTTCTGAACTAATACTTCTGTTTTCCTCTATCCCACAATTCTCTTATTAGCCAATAATAAAATTTTTTTAGCTGCTTTTTTTCAGGTTTCCAGAATATGGCAATAAGAAAAATCTAGCAACAATGCTTACTTTACTCAAAATTTTTCAAATTTCAACAAAATTTAATCTTGCAAAAATTAGGTGTTTTCTAAAATCAAAATTATGACATATTTTAATAAGTTTGACTGATATATACATAATATATATATATAATTATTTGGAACAAAGTTAGGGGTCAACAAAAAACTGATTTAATTAGAAATAGCTTTTTGAGGTTTATCACTAAGTTTTCTATTTAAATTTAGAGAGAAGACACATTGTACCTCCTTGAAAAGAAATTTATAACTTAGTTGTTTGATTGAGGTGTAATGCATAGATTAGAAAAAAATCTGCAAAATGTTAATTGTAATTTCTGATAAAAACATGGGTGAGAATTCTCGGCCAATTCCCACTTTCTTGTGATATTTGCCCAACTTCCGATTTTTATCTGCTTTCCGCTAATCAAGAAATTTGTCTATCACAAATACATAATCTGCAGTTTTACGATTGTGGCTGCATTTCAATGCTGCACGAAAAAAATTACATATTCCCCCCCCCTTCTGGTTTGTGTAAAAGATCACTACCGCCATTCGAAATCCTAATCGCATTGTATCAAAAAAGAAATCGAAATTTTAAAAACTACGTGGGCAATAAAATCGAATGCATAAAAAAGTGACTCTTAACATCCGTGATCCACAGCTCGCCGAACTAAATAATATCGTAATAAAACATCGAAATTTCAAAAGCCATTCTAAAATCCATAATAACAATTACCGAGAGAACGATCAACGAAACCTCTCAGATTCACTAAGGAATAGCCGCTAGATTGAATGGGTCCAGTGTTACCTCAAATGCGTGATTCGAAAGTCGCGGTATGTTATAATGGCGCATTAAAATATTGAGATTATAAAACCCAAGTGAAAATATGTAGCAATAGCTGTTAAACTAACGAATGGCAAACCGCATGGATTTATGGTGGAATGAAATCATTTAGATTTTAATAACTTTGTGGAAATATGCAACAATAACTGCAAATACGTAATTTTAATTTAAAAAAGATATAAGTAAAACAAGGAATTAATCAGAAAATTGACTTAGCAATTATAATATTACCAGTATGTTTAAGTAAAATTTCACAAATTTAAAAAAATTATAAAATTTTAAATAAAATTTATTTCAAAATAGTTAAAATTTAATAATAAAAAAATTTTTGATTCTCAAAAAGTATAAGGTAAAAACCATAAATTTCTGATTCCGGAATTTTTTCCAGCTTTTTTTGAAATTGTGCGTTCTTATGCCTTAAAAAAGCAGTTGAGAGAATTAAAAATATTCTTTCTTATTTATCAGCAGACAGCAGACCTTAAAATTTTAAGCATTGCTTTAAATTTATCATGCACAGTGAACATAACATTTTCAGCTTGTAAGGATTAATTTTAAGTAACATAAAATATCAGTTACGTATGCAAGCTTTGCTTCCTAAGAATGAGAAATAAACAAGAGAACAAATAAAATAAATGATCAAGAAGTAAATTTAGAATCTTAAAGTTTTCGAATTAGTAAGAGCGCATGTACATAAATTCATTATTCAGTGATTCTTTTAAAATTTTAGTTTCTTAAGCTCCCCTTCATACACCTCTACACTTTGAACTGCTTTTCAGACCAACAGTATGGCCCATATTTCTCAGATTACAGTTATCAAATATATTTTGGATGTTAGAAAGCATGTTTATTCAGAGAAAGTATGTTTTAGTGTCTGATATTGTAACTTAATGCATCGTCAGTACTAATTAATTAGTATATTTGAGGTATTCCCCCCAACCGTTAAGATTGAATCCTAAAACTTAAAGATCTGATCATTAGATCAGAAGTTATTCAGGGTGGTTATTATTATTATTTTTTGGACTGCACATTAAATTTTTAACTTTACTACTAGCTTTTTTTTAAAGAAGGACATAAAAGACTATTGTGTATGTTTGAGCATTTAAAAGATTATTTTTAATAAATTTTTGATAATAGGTTTCCCATCATTATTAAACATTACCTGAAAAATCATTGATTAATAAGATGTTGATATTCTCATGCTACAACTTGACGAATATTGATTAGTTACTAATAAATAAGTAAACAAAATTGGCTTTAAAATAAATAAACAGTCAATAATTAAGACAAAAATATTTGGCAAACATTGTAACTTTATAAAATACACTTTATTCTAAATAATTGTAAATTACAAATTATCAGTTAGTAGCATAATATTTTATCAGAATGAAATCATAACAATCCATGATTTCGAATTTATAAATAAAATAATTCTAATTGTGAAATATTTCAAAATTTACTAAAAATGTCAAATATTTAATTAAAATTTTCATAGTTCATGTACACAAAAAACATAAAAAAATATGACTAGCACATAAAATATCGCTTAAAATTATTTAAGAAAGGAAAATAAAGTACGGTTGTCATCCTACAGTATTTGCATTCAGATGTTATGCACATAAAAAAATATTGATGAATACATATTGAAATATATTATGAATTAAAATGCATATCGCTATACGTTATGAATTGAAATATGTAGACATACAAAAACATTTAGAAAGTGGGTGTGGAATGTCCTTACTAGACAAATATGGTGGAGTGATCCCTGACTATAATCTCAAACAATAGAACAAACTTTTATATAAGAAATTATAATGAAAAGATGTTTTAGTAATTTAAAATTATACATATCTTTAGCAAGAAATTAATATTATCATAAAGCACTAGCAGCCTTTGGTGATCAGCTTGGTTGCCTTCAAAAAACACACTTCTAACTGTGTGTCATGGTATTTTAATATCACAGTTCAATAATTAATAAAAATTAACTTCAAGGGAAACAACATAAATTCTTAACTAAAACTCCTAATACTGAGCAAACCACAAAAGATTGCAAAAGGCTTTAAGGCACTAGCAGTAGCTAAAGCACACGTGAAAGCGTGTGATTTCAATTGTCAAAAAAATCCTTCAGGACTCTGGATGGTTCTAAAATTCAAATTAAATAAACTAAAATAACTAATTACTTGAATTTTTTTTTTTTGAAAAACACAATTGAAACTTGGAAAAAAGAAACAAGACAAAAGGCATTAAATGGAATATTTTTAGGTAAGTTTCAAATCAAATAAAAGAGAGAAGTTCCTTTGTGATGAAGTTTAAATTTGAATCAGTCGATAGAATATAACTATTGACGTTTAACCAAATCTGTTTAAAAAACTCTCTATAAAACTTAACAAATATTCTAAATCTATAAAATGATTTTGGTATTCTTAATATTATACAAGTCATTATATTATATTAATCTAAATACACAATCTAGTATTTTAAACTACAAATTAATTTAAATCAATGTGTCAACTAACAATCAATGTATTTCTAGATAAGAAAAAAAAACTTATTTTCTAGATTCACACAATTTTTATGCCTAAAAAGACAAACTCATACATTGATAATACTTATATTTTACTTTGCAGCATTTTATATCATTTCAAAGAAAAATTTGGTTCAAAAATTAATTAACATATTCATTATTAATAATATTATGAGCCTTTTAATATTGATATCAGAATATCGATTCTCTGGATAAATTCTGTACACGAGCATGGAAAAAAAACTACTTAAAAATCTTTAACATATTTTACTCTATAATTTTTTTCAATAATAAATCAATCAATCTTTATTAAAACATTTATTATAGAGTGAGCCTTTTTAAAAGATATTTAATAAAATAATTAAAACAAAAGCACAAAATCATTACAATAGGTTGGTACATTTCACAAGTCTTGATAGTCTCACTCATAAAAATTCAAGGATATAAACAGGAATCAGGGAATAGCAAGAAATTTTTTCATATGGAAAGGGTAAAGTCAAATTTTTCACATTTTATATATATAAACCATCATATAAACAAAAAAAGATAATTTCAAGGCTACTTTATTTCACCTATGACAGTTCATTATGGTAATCACTACGACATAATAAAAACCAACTTTTCTATGTTAATTTTTAAAATAATTTTTTTCATTTCCAACTTGGTTTGCCATTTAAAAAACTTCTGGTCGATGTACAAAACCATAAATATGTAACAAATTTCCCCCCACTGCCACAATTGCATATGAGGAATTTTTTATAATTTAAAAAAAAAAAA